GTCGGTGTGGCTCGGCCGGGCGGCGCTGCTGCTGGGGCGGCCGGGGGGCCCCGCCGCCGTCCCCTCGTCCTGCCTGGGCTCGCTGCGGGGCCCGCGGTGCTGYTGCCGCCGCCGCCTGGGCAGCCTGCGGGGCGGCGCCGAGGGGCTGCTCCTCCCGAGGGGGTCGCGGGCGCTCGGGACCCACCCCAAGAAGGAGCCGATGGAGGCGCTGAACACGGCGCAGGGGGCCCGCGACTTCATCTACAGCCTGCACTCCACCGAGCGGAGCTGCCTCCTGCGGGAGCTGCACCGCTTCGAGTCCATCGCCATCGCCCAAGGTGAGCCGCGACCCGCCCCGAGCCCGGCTGGGGGTGGGAGGGCCGGGCCGGAGCCGGGGCTGAGCCTCTGAAGTTTGGGGGTCTTCCTTCTATCGCCCAAGTGACTCCTTTGGGCGAGTGGGAAACTCCAGAMGGAGGAGGCATCGAGAGGCGTTCGCCTCTGTGTTCGCGTAATCGGGTATAAATGAGGCACACGACCTGAAATTTAGTTTCCAGAAGCATCCTTCAGAACTTAAATCGAGCCAGTGTGCCAAATCCTCGGTGTGTCTCATCTCACCGGGCGTTTCAGAGAGCCACGGATGGCCATTTTTCGGAATGGGAGTAGGAAAGTGTGTCTCATAAAATCCTCCTGACACCGGGGCAGCAGTAAATTGATTTCAGACCACTTAAGAGACGCTGGTCCACTGCTGCTTTCGGAGCTCATTCATGAGTTACACTTCCCTGCACGGAGAGCTGCCGGCGCTGCTTCTTCGGAGTGTTGGTTCTCATTCGGGAAGGTGTGCATGTGCTGGGGAGGTTTATAGATGTATCTCTGAATATAGTGCTGTGCAACGCCAATTAAAGTAATTCACAGTGATTTTTCTTGTCTGATCCAACTGTTCTTGCCAACTTGACTCTGTTCCTTAAATCAAAACCTGACGAAACCAAATCCTCTTAATTACAACCTCCTTACTTCTAGTTCTGATCCTTAGCTGTAATTTACAATCCCTATTGCAGCGAAGATGATAGCGGGTACTTAAGAGATCAGTGTGCATTTGATCTAGGCCTCTTTGTGACTTTGATAGTAGCGTGCCCTTGGAAAGGGCATTTCTGTGCCTTGTGGCTCCTCTGTAGATGTCTGGAAAAAATTTTGGGTGAGCAGAGAACAGATCTGGGGGTCAGCTGTAGAAGTGCTGCTTTTGTGAAAAGACAATCCTTTGAGGCATCTCTTTGGTTTTGTTTGTATACGCACTTGCATATAAACACTAGTGTTTCTTGTCAAAAGTGAGAGTAGTTCACAATAGATGGCTCATTTTGAGAGCAGCAGCGCTTCTGTTTTGCGGAGAGTGAATCAGTTGTATTTGTTTTACAGCATAGAGGGTAGTACCTTTTGAGCTCCTGAGTTGACACTAACTTTTGAATACTAACAACTAATACTCTTTCCAAATAAATCCTCAGTGTCTGAAGGGTTCTTGTCATGAGGTTTTTGTGTGAGCTTCTGTCTTAACAGTTACTGCTCAAGTTGAACAGAATGTAGCTGTGTACCTGGAGGGTCGTGCGGTGGATATCAAAATGAGAATTTTAAATCTCAGTATAGTGTTTCAACATTTATACAGAGATAAATCAACACATGGTCGTATTTAATATCTTGTTGCTCACATGCTRTTAGTTATAATATAAAAGTTTATTGTGTAAAATACTGTGAGTTGATGTTTCAGGATTTAAAAGAAGCATTAGTTTGAATTTAGATACTTCATGAGAAATGATTAGTTGGTTTAAATTTTTTCCACTAGTGGAAATTGCAATTCACTTGTACCTRAATCTTGCTGGAGAGATTGTTTCAGCAGCATCTCAGTTGTGGGCTTAGTAGTCTTACTACTAAGTAGTACTAAGCCCTAGGTAAGGGCTGCATAAAGTGTTGTAATGCCATCAGACCTTATGCTTGGAGTCAGATGCTTGATCTGCCCATCTAGTAGCTTAATAAGGCTTTTGTATATAATATTTTCCTTTAGCCAGCTGTATTCATGGAGTGTTTTTACCAGACCTCAGCATAACAACTGTCGGCTTTTACCTGTAAGAAATTCTGTTTCTTCAAGTGTTGTGTAGAAAGAAAAATCGTAACCAAAAAGGGCTTCTAATAAGTCTGTTAAATAGAAATTGGAGAAAAAAAGCTATCTTTAATCTACTGCCCACGGCTGCTTTTTGTAGAGGTCTTACAGAATTCAGATTATGCGTGAAGCAGTGAGTATAGAGCCAGGCTCTCAAGGGGTGTGGGTTATGTATCATCGTTGTAAACAGTGTGGACTGCCAGAATAAGACAAAGTGGGTAGAAGGACTGCCTGGAAAGAAAGTAAGAGACTTTTCTGAGCTAGATGTTCATATTCTGTGTGTAAAATGCTTTATTATGTTTAGAAAATATTTTGTATGATTGCTCTTTCCTGCTGTTGAAATGCTGACAGTGTAGGAATGACCTCARTAGATAGGCAGCTTGTGAATGAGTAGCAGATGAGGGGAGAGATTTGTGCCTTGCTTTCTAAATAYTTAATCTGATCGATTAGTGTCACTTTTGATTTTTACAACTCATTARTTCAGTCAGGACAAAACTGTTTCAGAGATGTTGGGTTTCTTACCAATCTTCTTGTTCATTGGTGACATGCTGTACCTCCCAGAAGCTGATTCTTTTGCTGAGGTTGCTAATTGTACTTCTGTGGTGGTTTTCAGTGAAAATGATCCAAATGCAGCCTTCAAATTATCTTCCTTACCATCTGAGTAAATTCCCATGTGCTGTTTGAGTCTGAAAAATCAGCCTCTCCTTGATCATGAAATGCCTATGCAGTYTTGCCATCGTGCTTAAGCTTGTTTTGTGCCTTTGATATTTTCATAATTCTTTATGGAAAGGGAAGTGTTAGTCCATACCCTTTTTAACACAGTCCTTATTGGGTTAAGTTTTGACCTTCTTCCTTCACTACCTCTTCTGTGCCCTAACAGACCCCATATCAGCTAGGGGAGGCTGTCAGCAATATGGGGAGACCTGGGCACATCAAGAACCAAATGGGGCAAGTTCCTCAGCCCATTCCCAGGCCTACCAGCAGAAGGATGCAGTTCCACCACCTAATTGCCCTAGCGTGAAATATGACAGGACACACTATCTATGGCCTCCGCTAATGGCAGAGGCTGCGGGGAAACCYATCCTTTGCTGCGGCTGCTACGCTGAAGGACGGTCCTCAGGTAGGTGAGTTGTAGCTGTTACCTRTAAGTTAGGTGAGTCTGTGAAGCGTTTTTGAAAGTTAAAACATCTGTTTGTGCTGCAGGTGCAAAAACTGTAGGTGGTGAGAGGTTTGTGAATACGTTCCTGCCATCACCTTGTCACCTGTCTTACCTGGAGATTTATAGAGCTTCCAGATGCTGGGCACCAGCAGTCGGTTAAGCAGTGTAGCTTCTGAATAAGCACTGACTGAGATTCTGCTGTTTGTTTTAGTGCTTCGGTAAACAGATCTGTGTCTGTGTGCATGTGATGGCTGAGAGCTAAAAGCCYGAGTTTAAATTTATAGATGCGTTTTGCATAGTAGAAGCTGGGGGAATGCTGTGAAAACGAATCTGTATAGAATAGTAGTCAGAAAATGCTTTGAAAAATGATCCTGATTTAGACTATAAATCTATATCTTACTATCTTAAAAATTTAGTCAAAACATAATTGAACTGTGCTTTCTAAAGACAGCTGCAATCCTTCTCATCTGGATTTAGTTTTCCTTCTACTTTGAAGTCTTTAAATCTTTTTTTTTTCCTGTTTTCAACCTTGGACAGGTAAATGAGCTCTCACCCCAGAAAGAGTTTTGAAACAAAGTTTTAAAATTTTAGTTTGTTTCTTGTAAACATGTCAACCACACCCAGCCACACTAGATGTAGATAGTACCTGTGGACTTAAATACAACTAATTTGTATATTTCTGTTTTCATAGTAACAGGAACACTGAAACAGCAAGTAGGCCGGTTCATTTTAAGTGTAATAGTCCTGTCTTCCTGTTCAYAGAAGTGGTGCCTTGTACTTAAGGCTTAGTTTTGTTGGCATTGGAACTTCCTTTCTGTTGTTTCTTTCTTGCATRGTGGAGGTGAAAGTGGAAAATGTTTCAGGCAATATGGAGAACAATTTAATGCTTCTGACTTTCTGTAGCAACATTTCATTGACAAAAGAGGTGTTAGRAAGAAGATGGGACTTCTTTCTTAAGGAGCTTATATTTGGGAGTTTCTACCTTTAGTTTCTGGTGTATTATATGTTTCGTGAAAGATGCACTTGTCAGCAGTGCAGCAAGCCTGGTAATGAGGAGGAAAAATATTAAAGGGTTTGACTTGTTTAAGTAAGTGATACTAAACTTGRCAAGTTTGCTGTATCTTTATTGCTTCATAGAGTACTGTTGCTCCTTTATGTTTTGCTTTGCAATATTCTTGAGCCCAGATCTAACCGTTCTTCATTAATATTACTAACAYAGCGATTATCTAGGACCTCTAAGAAATCTCAGGTCTTGATAATGAAAGAATCCTTTATTTTCCCATCTTCTGCTGCAAAGATGGGAAAACAATTCCTGTTTTCCTATCTTTGTGTTCCTTTGCATAAAATACATATACTATATGTGTGTGTGTRTATACATAAAATAGATGTTTTTAGTGTAAAATGTATGTACATTGAACACAATTCCTTGAAAGCAACTGGTTGCATTTGGTGTGTAAGACTTTTGTGATGTGATCACTAAATTAAAGGTCTTGAAGTGGAATTTCTTCTTCCTCTGCCTATTGAGGCTGTGTATTACCTGGAAAACATGCAAAAAACCATAGCAATGAGTCTTGACACTGGTTTTGTAATTTAATTTGTATGTTTCAGAGAATGCGGTCTGTAGCTAGATTCTCTTTGAAGGCACTGGGACGTCATACCATATATAATAATCTGAGATACATAAATAATCTGACCAAAATGGCGCATTCTGATAGAAAACTTTCCTAACTTCAAATTACTGCATCTTGTCCTTGTTWAAAAAATGTATTGGACAGGTAAAAGTCTCTACCTGCATGCATTCAGCCAGGCTGACAGCCAGTGCAGAATCTCTGAGGGAATTTGCAAGGTTTTAGGCATTGTTGGGTGAAATCTTACTTTGGTGTCAGAAGAAACCTTGCTGGCTTATGTTCTGGTGTTAAATCTATAAGCTCCCGAGATCACTGAAATAGCTTAGGGAGGGTTTTAGCTTCTGTGCCACTACTTCCACAGCTTTACAAAGAAAAGGTAATTCAAAAGACTGAAATGTCATCAAAGACAAGTGGATTTCACTGAGGTTTTTGTACACTCTAAACAGTCTTCTGTGAAAAAGATTCCCACTGTAGCATGAGTCAGATACTTCTTGCTAATATGAACAAACTGGTTCATTTGCCATGGTGGTTTAGAACCACTCAGATTTTAGTACCTCTTTTTGTTAGAACGGAATCTGTGTTAACTCAACAAAATATAATTCCTTCCTTCTGGAAGTATTTGTCATATTTGAAGAGTGATTTCACAGTGCAAGGGTGAGGTTTGTGGTGAGGAGTGCCCCCGCCCACTGAGCTGGGAGAAAAGGAACTGTTCTTGCTGTTGTGCTCTGACAGGTACCATGGCACTTGGTGGGGGCAGTTCTCTCTTCCTCTCTCCTTTACAGACCCAGCATAGGCGAGTGAATGCCGCGCTGTGTGTGGAGCAATGTCATCTACTTCTCTCTCCCRTGCTGTGACCCGGGTCAATAATTTTTTCTAACTCTAGTGTTTGATTGTTATTCTAGGAAAAAGTCTTCTGGCAGACTGCTGGCAAACATCTAGTTCACAAGTTTGAAGTGCCCTGTCAAGCTGGTAAAATGACAAACTTGCCAGCTTGCCTGTGTGAGTCCCTTTGTGTTCTTAGACCATTGCAGTCTATACCRGGATTGTTGCTAATCTCACTGCTGAGTCAAAAATACTAGGTAGTGAAAGGAATACTGTGTTTCAGAAGGAAAGATGTGCTACTTTTTGCTTTTGAAACTTTTTTTTGGTTTTGATGTACCCCCTGCCTCCTGCCCTACGTCTTGGAGCCCTCTTATGAAGGCAGAGTGCCGATGAAAAAGTGCTGCTTAGGCTCTACTGATCATTTTCATTAACATCTAAACCTCATGAATCACAAATCACAGAATCATAGAATATCCTGAGTTTAAAGGGACCCACAGGATTCATCAAGTCCAAATCCTTACCCTTCACAGGACCATCACCAAGAGTCACATCTTGTGCCTGAGAGTGTTGTCCAAACTCTTCTTGAGCTCCGGGAGGTATGGTGCTGTGACACTTCCCTAGGGGAAGCCTATTCAGTGCCCAAACACTCTCTGGGTGTAGAACATTTTCTAATAGCCAACCTCAATCTCCCCTGACACAAYCTCAGGCCATTCCCTTGGATCCTGTCACTGGTCACCAAAGACAAGAGATCRGGATCTGCCCCTCCACTTCCTTTTRTGAGGAAGCTGCAGACTGCAGTGAAGTCTYCTCGCAGTCTSTTCTCCAGGCTGAATAAGTTTGGGYTGTTTAGCCTGGAGAAGAGAAGGCTCTGGGGTTACCTTACAGCACATTCCAGCACATTAGTGGGATTTAAAGTGCGCTGGAGAGGGCTTTTCACAAGGACATATAGTGAAAGGACAAGAGGGATTGTTAAGGGCTTTAGACTGGAGGAGGGTATTAAAGAAGAAATTCTTTGCTGTTAGTGGGTTGAGACACTGGCATCAGTTACTCAGAGGAGCTGGCTGTGAGTGCATCTTTCCTATAAATCCAGATTGGATGAGGCTTTAAACAACCAGGTYTAGTGGAAGGTATCCCATGGAGTTGGAACCAGATAGTCATTAARATCCCTTTTACCCAAACTATTAGGTAATTTAGGGACTGAGGTTCAATGTCAGAAACAAGGAAATTGGTACATGGTCAGTCATCGWAAAATTATTCTGAAATTGCTCTCTGAAAATGTCACATGTAGTTGTCTACCTTTGAAACACCCACACCAAGGTTCTGTTTTCTGAAGTTCATGTTGTCTTTGCTATTGTGGTTTGGTTTGCTTCCATATTCTGACATTCTACTTGCTCATGTAACTGAAAGCAGTTTCTAGTCTGTTTAAATGCAGAAACTTKGTCTTGTGTTTTTGCAGAGAAAACCCTGCAATCATTCAAGTAGACTTGGTGTAAAACCCACAAAAATCCAGTCTTAATATTTTTGAAGGATCTTTTCTTGCTGGTGGATGCTCCAGTATTGATTGGAAGATTTTAAATAATGACTGATTGCTGTTTTGCTTTTGAAAACTCCTTGTAGCATTTAGGTATCCTAATCCAATGGCACCACTAGAGAACTCAGCGGAGGAGGTAGAGTCACCAGAGACAACCAGTGATTTTGGTACAGTAAAAAAAACCCAGAGAGAAAAGTGTGATTGCTGAGATGTGCATTTCGTAAGGCCAGCAGGCTGCTGATTTGACAAACTTCCTGCATGCTGGTTTTGATGCRTTTGGCATGTATTGCTGCAAGAAATAAAAGTACAGTTTTTGTTCGTATTCATGTAAAGCCTTCAGGCACAAGAATTTCAGTGATCCACATCTTCAGGTACTTACTMTTAATTTGACCAAAGTACAGGTTCATATAGGTCAATAATTTCACGTATAGTTTCAAGTATAGGTCTTGTGTAAAGTACTGCACTATACCATAGTTTCTAGTTAATATTTGACCAGAGMTTTCAGATCTCTTTTTTTTTGTAGCAGCTCAGTGTCATCTATCTTATTCTTTTTCTTCGGAAAGTGATGTGCATTAAATTACATCATCCAAATATAATGCAGAAATAATACTATAGTTAACAATATTTAGTTAGCTGTCCTTGTCCTTTCCTGCAAAAGGTAAAATAAAAAATTGGTCCAATTAAAACTTGTCTTTTGCATGTGTTTAARCATGTGATGAATACAAAATAGGTGTCACACACAAATATCTTTTAAATCATGAATCAGAAAAGATACCTGAACTTTAAGTCATTGTTCTAAAAGGAAAATCTGTCTCCCAATAACTGTCTTGTTCAATACAAAGGCTGCTTTTGATTTAGGTCTCTTTAGGGAAGATTGCTTGAAATGCAGCTTTTACTGGGAGTGTAACTTAAACCTTTGAGAGAAAGARATTCAAAACATTTAGATCTCCCTGCAACAGGCATGAATGAAATAAATCATG